ATCAGTAGAAGATATTTGTCTTTTCCCTGAAATGCATTTCATGTTTGTACCTTATGAAACAACATTGTTTTGCACTCTGTTCATGTGCACCACTTTCTTTGGATCTTTTCTCTAAATGCAGCTTAAATCAGACGCCATCAGCTGATTGGCAGACTTCACCAACATCAAGGCTTACTCCCGGTCTGTGATGTGTCACCTGTCACCAAATTAACATCCAGGCTGCCACTGTAACTCAATTAAACCAGCATCTAAATGACCAGAGCTTTGAACTGAAGAAGCAGAGCCTGAACGCCTCCGTGGTAATGTGACATCAAAGACGAGTGGCGTATATGAGCTTCATTAGAGGAGGAAAAAAAGACCTTCTATTATTGAAGCATGAAGGATACATGAAGTAACACGTTCTCTTATTATAACGCAGAGAAATACAAAACGTGCAGGAACACACAGAGGACACTGTTCCCAGCGACCCCTCCTTCACGGTGATGTGAAGCACGCAGGAAATGCTTCATGTTGACTTCCCGGGTTGCTTTAGAGCTTTGAGAGAGAAAGAAGTTCAGGAAGCAGAGGAGGCAGAAACAAGGTATGTCAAAGACAGTAACTGACAGTAACTTGCTTACAGTACTAATAACATGTTGTGTCATATTCAAAGGGCCACATGTTTCTCTAAGGAGTTGGTGGAGACCAAAATCAGAGCTAAAAAGAGAATGAATATGGTGACTCTTTGCACCAAGCCCATTTGTTCACACTGAAGACGAAAACCTTAAAAACAGATCACAAATATATCCTTTAATAAAAATAAAAAAAGACTAAATACTTTTCTAAAACAGCTGATCACGGTAGTATTTAGAAAACTGTGCTTAACAGGAATACCTAGTGAGTAGGCTATTTATAGCAGAACGTGTATGTAGGATTGACTAAAACTTTAAAAATGACTTAATCATGATGAAGGTGTTTTTGATTGATTTTGGGCAATAACATAAGCAATACGATACATTAGGATTTGACTACACTGTTCATACTAGTCAGTTGGGATCAGTTCATTGTTAGTTTAGTGGGATTTGTTGAAAATAAGAAAAACACTAAATAGTATTTGACTCATCCTTTTTAAAAGTATTAAATCATGCAAAAGGTTTGTCACACTCATCTAACATACTGTATATGTAAGTGTTAACATGTTCACCAGACAAATGATCTACTCAGATGATCTAAAGCAACTCAGAGTTAATCAGATCAGAACATGTTGTCCTGAGATAAATTAAAATGAATATAAAAATGAAGAAATAATTAAGTTGGTTTGAGTTCTTGGCCTGCTCACCATGCACACCTGCAGCCTTTCCACCGACTTGTAGTTACCCTACCAGCTGGCCTGACCTATGTTTAACACACACACACACACACATACACACACACGCACGCACACACACACACGCACGCATTGTTGCTCCACAGATGTTTTGACCCATGTTTGCATGCACTGTGTCAAAACCAGCTTTGCAAATGTTACAATGGAAATGTTTTGTTTCTCCATATAGCAAGCTGGCACTGGAAATGTCAGGTTCCCACTGTATGATTATCTTATTGAGTGACATACTTTCCTTCAGGGCAGCATGCAATGGCAATTAGGGACAATCTGCTTTTCCCACAAAGTGTAGATGCTAAGCCCGGATGAATGCTGCGCTTTGTGTTACTATTGTTAACTGGGGAAATGTGAAACTTGCTTCAAATTGATGTGAAGCGGTGTAAAGTTGCATTTATGGGCCACCTGGTTTTGTAGCCATCCAAGCGCGCTATCGTTCATACTTACACTGCACTTGAGGAGGAGACTGTAGCAGTGGACTGTGGATGCTCTGCTGGTCTTCATGGTCTTGGGGCGGCGGTCCGCACTGCACAGAGTTGAGGTGTTCCTGCTTTCCCGCCGGCAGACGCCCCCAGAGACACGCTGTCAAAAACAACCGTGGAAGTTTCTCACACTGTAACCCAGTATTCCCAGGGAAAGGCCTTTGAGAGGGGGATCGTTTCCTCAACAACTACACCACTTTGCTGCGCCGCTCCCGAGGAAACAGAGTTCCTGCAGCTCCAGCTGAACAGGGCCCCCCCCCCCCTCTCTCTCTACTCCACCCGGGGCCCGTGCAGCCTGCTGGGGAGACAAGCAAATGCTCAATAGAGCCTCTCATGTATCAGTTACCTAAAATATCAAACAGCATGTAAGAGGGTGGTTGACTTGTTTGTTTGACTTTGGTGGTCAGAAAGATTTCTGGCAAAACTCAGAGATGTGCAAATAGTGAGAAGAAGTGTATTTACCCCATTGGATGTGTGAGGGAAGCTGGGTCACTTGTCATCTGGATGACTTATCTCCATCGCAGTTCATCGCCCAGGAAATTCAACTCTGTGCTGCACAATGCAGTCAGATGATGAAAAGAGCAAAGAATAAATCTTGTTCAGCTCCTGAGTTGAAAGAAAGTTCAGCAAAGACAGAGCTTTGGTGCTGCTGTGAAGATAAAGGACACAGTCGGGGTTCCGTTACTTTAGATTCTGAGGTTAAAAGTAGCCTTTTTGGCACAAAAACACGAACATACTTTATTTTGTTTGGGCTGAGATCTGCATTTGTGCCTTATTGTGTCACCGTCACAGGCAGGATTGTCCAGAAACAATGCAGAGAGCAAACAAACCCTGACTCCTGACAGGCTGTGAAAAGCCGACCCATTGGGACTCTATAGGCTGTGTGAGGCAGAGGGAGCTGCCTTTGTCACGACAACTACGACTCTGAACTTTTGACATGCACGTCGGATGGAGGGTGTTAATGGAAATGAGTGACTTGCCAATGTGCTGATGAGGGAGTGAAGAGGATTTAAACAAATCCGCGAGCCTATGCAGAGGTGAGATTCTGTTAAACTAACAATGAGACCAGTGTCACATCATACTACTACATACATGCTCCACAACCGCACCCAGCGACTTCAGAGGTCTGATTTACATGAAAAGCGAGGGGGGGGGGGGGGGAATGGCAACGTGATCAGTGACAAAAACAAACTCCCTTATTGCTAACCCTGTCTGCTCCCACTCCTGGAAACTGCGACCCAGCAGTGAAACGGCCTGATTGTCAGCAGACCGGTCTGTGAGTGCAGCAGCTCTTTGATACCAGGAATGGGGGGGTTAAAGAGGAGGGGCGGGGAAGGGGCCACAAAAGCCTTCTGTTTCAGCCTGGGAGTGGGGTTACCTGCTCTGCTCTCTGCGGTGGGGTCCAATTTCACACATATCATGTGCATGCATACGCATATGCATGCATATCCAAGTGCAAAACCACTTTCTCACACAAACACACACACAAACACACGTGCACAGCTGCTGCAGGAGTTTGAGGCGTGAGGAGTGTGCATGTAGTTCCTCGGGGGACAAATGAGGTTTGTTTGTCAAGCATTCAGAGCATGACACCAGGACAAAGGCAGCCACATAACCAAAGTACTGGGTGACAGATAGTCATTGTTCTGTAGGAAATGACAAAGACAAGCTGCTGGGAGATGTTTCCTGCTAAGTAAGTTTTTTTTTATGTGAACTAGGTCTCATTCTTGGTGGAAATAAATTTAGCAGGCAATGTCACAGCTGCAGCACCTCCCTGAAATACTGAAACATGGGCAGTGAATTTAAATGGACAGGGGTACAAACACTGTAGAATAACTATACTATTAAATAAATCAAGACACACATTGTATGTGCAGTGAGGTAAATCAGAAGATCTGGATGGTAGTTTTGACTGTTTTACTATGTTTTCAGAAATCTATGAAAGAAAAAGAGGTAATTGAATGACTAATCACCGATAGATTAATAATAAACAAGTATAATAGCGTGCAGAAGGGAGTGGGAGAGGAAACGCATGTAGCACTACATTTTACACAAAGGTCCAGTGGCTAGAAGACGTGAGAGACATCTGAGGGAACAAAAGCTTCAAAGGTAAATGATCTACAAGAGGTTGTGAAGCAGGACCCTCCCTGTTCCTCAGACAAACTCAACGACAATAATGTTCATCATTAATAACAAGGGTCCAAACTGTGTCTGGCTACACCCATACTCTGTCTCCAACCACAGGCATACTGTTTCTGATAGATGGCGTGTAATGATAAACTATTGTAAACATTGTGTTCTCATAGGAAGTACAACACAGTAAATCTAATAAATAAATACAGAGTAAGGTGTTGCAACAGTAATTCAACAGTTGCCAACTACATTAAACTAAATCACAAATGTAATAAAATGAGTATCTATGCTCCAACACATTTAGGGAGAAGGTAAGATTTATGCTTTAGAACTGTGCCATGGCAGAATACTTAACACTATAATTAGCCTCGTAAATATCTTCAACTTCTGTAAAAGTTTTTTTTAACTGTAAAACAATTATTTCCAGGATATGAACCAAATGTCCTCACAAGTGGCTTTTTCAATCAATTGAAATATGCTAATTGTTCATTGTGCGTTTCAGTTTTTTTGGTTCATTAATACACCGTGTTGGCAGCAGCTATTCTATCACAGCAGGAAAAGCAGGTCATACTATTACATAAAAATGCAGACGCAGTGTAGTGTTAAAATGGACCACTTTACTCTTTCACAACACATCCATAGAGCACATTTTCAATATCAAAAATAAAATTGCCTTCTTTGGAGCAGATTCCATCGTAATTGCGTCTCTTTTCTAGAACAACCCAAACCAACGCACACGAGTTCAGAGATGGATTTGAAGACGTTTCATGTCTTTACAGCAAAGATTCCTTCAACAGAACACACATTCGTTGAGCTAATCTTTTGGCTCGTGTGTGGTTCTCTTTTCCAGAAAACAAGACGGATGCTCGTCACCGTAAAACATGAAACAGTGCAGCAGTCGGTGGGTACAGTCAGGAGTTGCAGACAGCGAAAAAGGCCCAAGAGAAGCAGGAACCATGCATAGCCATGTGTGGAAAGAACCCAGCAGAGCCGGTTAAATCAGCCAAATGGAAGAACTACAAACTGAATGTGGTTATTGAACACAGTTGTTTAATAGCGGATGTTACCCTTTTCCATCCAAAATTAGTGCCTTTTAAATATATATTTTCAATGAATTCTCTTGCACATAAATAGCCTCATTATTGCTCATTAGAAAAACAAACATTTATGAAAAGTATAACTCGCACAAACTGGCATTTAAATCTATGACAAAGCGTTTTATCGGCCATAATGAAGCTAAAGCAACGGCAAAAAGAAATGTTAGCAACTGAACTTAACCGACTAGAATCTGAAGCTTTGCCGGAGATCAAATGATTCTAGGTAAGAAAGGTAACTTCTCAGAAACAAATCTATTGCACGCAGAAACCGAGTTCAAATCAACACTAGTTCATTAATGAATCCGTACATGTACGTGGAAAACAGTAAGTCCCCAAAAGAAAACAGTCAAATTATGCTCGTTTAGTGAATATTTACAGTTTTTAAGATAGTCAGTATTACAGCTTCATCCATCTTAAATGTCACTCATTCATTGGCGCCATTTGTTTGAGATGTCCGGATGTGATCGCCGGTAACTTCATCCCCAGACTCGTCTGCTTCTTGATCCTGAGAAAGAAACGACAACGATCAGTGAACACGTCTCCTTTCTCACCTTCACGTTCGTCTGATGGCAGCAGAACTCGTCGCTCTCACGTCTGAATAACAACCGCGGCCACTTTTAATGCATGCTCACACTTCTCCACATCACTTTTAACATGGCACAAGTCAGAATTTAGAAGACTGCGGCAGTAGAGAGGTGAGCCATGCAGAGATGCAGTCTGAATGTCTTGCACCACTAAGACAGTGGAGGCGTCTATCACGCGTTCATCGGCAGGTTTCTGTAGCGTTCCCGGTAATATTTGTTCTTAAAGTCTTCTGAAGTAGCATATCACAGGACAATAAGTTATGTTTGAGACCAAGAATATGAGCATGAATACTGATGGATTAAATATCTTTCAACAATTTGATTCAACTGGCAAAATATTATTAACACAAAAGGTAGATCTCCTGCATTTAAAATAAAGTTAAAAACAATTGAATTTCTAGTAATTCCCTCTCACACACTTTCAAAAGACACACTATGCTTTTACTTCCGAATTTCAATTATTTGCTTTTATCAGTCGGCCTGTTTGTGGCAGTCCTCTTCTCAGATGTGCTGTAATCTAACGGATATGCTCTACAGATATGTTGGTATAAGTTGTTCAAACAGCGTTTGTAACGTGTCTGTTGTCATGTGTGTGTTGGCAACTGTCATTTTTGTGCTGGTTTATAGTTTAACATGCATGTGTTGAAAGCAGTTCTGACCCTGCAGACACAGCTGCTGTACTGCACTGCTTGCTGCAGAATTGTACACCAGGGCCCTCTGCTGGACAAACTCCGTCATTACAACAGATTAAAAAGAGCCCCAAGCAGCTATTTCAGTCGTTATATAAACCAATACTCATATATCTGTGATATATTGGCCAATAAAAATATCTAATATTTCAATCATCATCTCTTATGCGCAATATCAAATTTCATGAACTAGGCAACGCTGAAAAAGAGAGAGAGAGAGCAGAAAACACACACGCACACAGCTGCTTCTGTAAACGTCTGCATAACGCCACACAGAGCTTGAACTTTCAATGCTGCACCTTTTTCATCACTGCCAGCAGCTCTTTGACGGTGGACGTCAAGGTGTCGGACGTCTTGCTAATCTGGTCGAGGTAGATGTTCTTCTGCTTGTCGGCGGCCTTTAGAGTCTGCTCCGTGTGGCTCAGAGTGCCCTTCACCTCCTCCAGCTCCTTGGACAAAGCCTTGTTGCTTTGCTCCACCTGAGCTTTGACCTTCGCGTCTTCATCTGGATTGAGACACAACACATAGTTAGAACAACGACGGGTCAACGATTAAACTTAGGAATCTCACATTTATACATTCAATATAAAAATAAATGTTTAAGGAAAGCCTGCCAGAGACGATTCCTTTGAGGAACCAAAAGGTTTAGTCAGAATGTCCCGTGTGTGTTGACCTAACAGAAAGACTCCTTATGTTTATCATTACAACCTGCTATTGTAACCCGACTACCACAAACAAGCTGACGAGGATTACAATCAAACCGGTTTGAGCTGGTACTTTGTATGTGGCATTTGTGAGTAATGTGCCAGTCCACATTTCAGAATTCACAGAAGGAAGAAGATTGAAGGAAGTGAGACTGGGCGTCTTTGTAGCAAAGCTCAAATTGAGCCAGATCATTGTCCAGAGGGACTTCTGACACAGAGTGTAGCCTGCAACTCATTTCCATACACAGTAGAACACAATTCCAACTCATACCCATTTTGGCATCCTGCACCATGAGCTTCTGTTCGATTTCCTCTCTTGCTTTCTCGCTCTTCTCCAGTTTCTGCATCATGCTGCCAATGTCCACCATGGCTCCGTTATACACGATCAGATTTCCAGACTCGCTGGCCTCAGACGGCGCACAAGCTTTAGGAGCAGGAAGTAGTCCTCGGTTACCTGACAGACGGAGAAGAGAACTTCATAAAACAGGAAAGAGCTCTCCACAGCAGCCCTTCACCATAGGGTAAGCTGTAGCTTAATGTTATGACACGCTCAATGTCTTTATAGCTTTAAAAATTCAGCATATTTAATGGTATTAAAACAGTAATAGAAGCACTCACCTGTGAGGTTTTCAATCTGAGCTTCATTAAAGAAAGGAATCGGTTCATCCTTCCCTCGGTCTGTCAGTTTACGGTAGTAACACGACTCTCTGACCACCGGCTTGTTCAACAGCTTCTTTATCTGCAAACAGATGCGACAGGCAGTCAGTGGATGAGACTAGAGATTAAGTATCAGCGATGCACAGATGCAGAAACGGAGCGTAACAACAGTCATGTCTGTGTGATCACCTGAGCACGAGAAAGGTGCAGTCCCAGTGTGTACAGGATCTCCTCCAGGTCTCTCTCCAGCAAGTAGCCACAGTGGCTCTGGTCAAAGTAGACAAACGCCATCAGCAGCTCCCTGTTGTGTGTGACCATCTGCTTCTTCTCCTGGTGGAACAACAACGACAACATTTATACCTACCAGCATGACTACGCTACATCAACGTCTTCCTCATATGCCTAAATCAAAAGATACGTTCATAATTAACCGTTTAACCGGAATTAGGAATCTTGACAGATTAATGCTCTCAGTTAAACAGTGAAAAGAAAGCAGAGCAAACCTCAGAGGAGTGGCAGCCCACCGTAAGTGAGCCTGAGACCACAGACTGAATACGAGAAACATTTAAATGTCCAAAGTAAGAAAGCAATGTTTTGCTCCACTTAAGGCCTCAGAAAATGTGGAAGCGTTATCCATCACAGGTTCAGCGTGGTGCATGATTCATCATTGGCCAACTCATATTAAGTGAGACATGTGGGTTCATTTTCTCATAGACTTCCATACAACCAGAGGAGTCTCCCCCTGATGGCCAGTAGGAAGAATACAAGTTTAAGACACTTGGCTTCACTTTACAGAGGCAGAGGTTGCTGCCTGCCTGACACAGAGCTGTTGTTGTTATCCTCGGGCCTAATCCGCTTCATTTTAAGCAGACAGACGCAGGAACTAGCATGTATTCAAAGACAATAAAACTGTACACACACTGTGCTGCTACAGTCACTGCGGACTACTCCATACTCATTACACACGTTCTCCCAGAATGACACTCGGCTGACAACCTCGTAGTTAAACTAGGAGACTTATTGTGAAATGCATGCGTTCACGACAATGCAACGCAACAGACAAATGAACTGTGGAATCAGTTTCCTGTTTTACACATAAACTGCAGCTGGCAATAAATGATGGATTTAATCTTTTTGTGCGTCCGGTTATTGTTGCAACCACAGCACCCCTGCATGCAAGGCACGAACTAATCTTAAACCGTTAATGAAGGGTCAGCCATCGGCCAAAAATAAAAAAAAGGAATTTGCATCCATAAACAACATTAACCAACAGACCAACCTTGTCTTTAGAGGACCTCTCTTTTGACGACTTGCGGTCATCCTTACGGTCTTTCCTGTCTCGGTCATTGGAGTCGTCGTCATCCTTGTCTGAAGAATTTCAACAGTGGTTCAACAAGGTTCAACAAGCGGCAATACAACTTGTGATTTACTATTGTGTTTAATAAGTGTGGCTGTGAATACAAGAAACATTGAAATGTCCAAAATAAGAAAGCTACGTTTTTCTCCTCTTAAGGCCTCAGAAAATGTGGAAGCGTTATCCATCACAGGTTCAGCGTGGTGCATGATTCATCATTGGCCAACTCATATTGTGGGAAACCTTTAAATGATTGACTGAGTTGTGTTTAAAGACATTGAGCAGTACCATCATCATCGTCATCCTCTGCATCTTCAGCCTCCATGGGGTCGTACTCTTCAGCATTGGCCATGCTGCAATCATCTTCGTTCTCCTCTTCATCTCGAGACGACTCCTTCTTCACAGCCTTTTCATCGCACTGAAAACACAAGTCATACAACTGCATTAAAACTCACATCGTCTGTGGGGCAAATGACAGACCGAGAAGATCAGATAGGTTTGAAAGGCTTGCCTTCTTCTTCTCCTCCTCATCCTCCTTAGTCTTCTTTACGGCTGGTTCTTCAGTCTCCTCCTCTTTTTCCTTCTTTATTTCACGCTTCTCCATCTCCTTCTTGACTTTCTTCTCCTTTTCCTTCTTATCCTCTTTGGTAGGAAAAGCAGCCAGGACTTTATATATGCGGAAGCCAAAATCTCTCTGTAGCATCTCGTTAAACAGCTCCGCGAATAAGGACACCTGGACAGAAACAGAGGGCAGTTTATGATGAACCGTAGGAGAAAACAGGTCACATTCAGCAGGTTTTCATACATCTTTATCTATTGCACACGTACACTGTAGACTTCTTTCATCTTCTCTAACACAGCATGAACACGTGACCAGTAATTCTCACCTCAAAAGAGTGCTCCTTGTTGTCTTCCAGTCTGTAGTCTAACAGCACACTCAGGGACATCACACTGCAATCAAACTTGCCGTTCTTGGCGGCCCAGTTTGGGTGCACGATGATGGTGGGCTCATCGGGGAGGACGTAGCGCCTTTCTCTCCGCTGGCGCTCGAGCTCCTCCAGCCTCTTCTTCTCCTCCTCCTAACAGAGAAGAACACTCCAGTTAGAAGAGCGCTTCAAACATATTTTAGACAGCCATGGTTGTGCCAAAAATATAAGTTATCTAATATAATCCGATGTACCTCTCTGTCTTCCTCAGGGCGAGATGGCTGCTCTTCCTCAGCAGCCTTTATCTCCGGTTTTTCTGGCTCCTTGGACTCCTCCACCTGCTCCTCCACCTTCAGCTGCTTGGTGAGACGGGCGATCAGCTGCGACTTTAACCCCTTAGAGCTCAGAGAGCGACAATCAAGCTCTTTGCGCAGGTCATTTACCTACAAGGGGAGAAATCAAGGACATGGGAGGTGCACGTTTAACCTCGGGAGCAGAAGTAATCACAACATGCACAATATATAAGAATTAACATTTGTAAAAAAGGTCCAAAGATAGTTCTGATAAGTTCATTCCGCTATCAGTGCTGAGGCTTTCTCCTTGAATCTTACCTTCATTGATTTCGGGTCAAGTTTAGCCCAGTGAGTGGGAACACTAACGTCCTTTGATTCTTCGTCATCCTTCTCTTCTTCCTCCTGGACGGGAAATCATTAAGATAGAGACAGGCAGAGAGACAGAAGGAGGTGGGAGAGCAAACCGTCAGTACACTGCTTGTGGCCTGAGTGAGCTTTAAAGTTGATCCGTGCAAGAATCAAGGTCACATCTGTCTCTCATTGTCTCGTCCTAGTGAGCTCTCGACTGTGTTTAAGACCACTGCTACTGAAGCGTACACAGGGAAGCTCTCTAGCGCTTATAAAAACAAACAGAAATGCCCTCCAGCAGCCAATCAATCAATCTGTGGAACACAAAAAAAGGTAAAAAATCAATGAGAGGTGTGTCCAAAAGGAGTGTCGGTACATCAGGTGAACTGAAGCTGGCCTCCAAACGGAGTGAGGATAGGGCGGCCCTACCATGGTCTATGACTGGGGTACTGGTCATTTATGGGGTTTATACACCTACGTCAGATAGGAGCATCTGTCCAACCAACTGCCCTGGAAAAACCAAAGTCTACATATAGTCCAAATGAGAAAAGCCAACAAGAACAGACAGAACAGGACTTTAGGGAGGTTCTCTTTTCCAAGTCAGACAATATCAAATTGATGTAGAAAATCATATAAAAAAAATACACATTTCTACAACACACACAATATTTACACACAACTGACTCCACAGATTCCTGCGTAGAGAAACATTTTAGATCCCAGCGTCAGAAAATCACAACTGGCTCAAATTTGAGGAACTATTTCAAGATGATTGCTAAACCAATTTGGCAAACACCCACATTCAAAGCAGGTTACACAAATATTGTTTTGAATAATGCACAACTAAATTCCCAGTAGCATGGAGGATTACAGCCAGATTAGCACCCAATTATGGAGGCGTTTGAGAAGCTGGAAGCTGTTTTATCAGTTGTGATCGGGGCCTACACAACACGACCTAGTCTCACTGCTTCCACTGTATGTGTCTGCTGGATGTGAGGGAAGGTGGATGTGCTGATGGAGGAATGGAGGAGTTGGAGCAGAGGAGAAGGGACAGGTGGAGGAGTAAACAGAAGACGCCTAGGTGAGGTTTGGTGGAACAATAATCTGCCTGTGCGTGTCTGCGTGAATGGGGAGGTGTGCATTGTGTCTGATGTGTAATCTGTTTTTTTTGTAATTCCTGTGCCTTCCTGTGAGAAGCGAAAATGAGAAGAGAGGGATTAGCGGTTCAGTGCCTGTTCTCCATCCGCCTCCTTTCGCTCGGCCGACAGCTTCTCAGCCAGCTGCTCCCGAAGTCGCCGGGACAGCACCTCCCACTCTGAGCGGGTAGGAAGACAATGCCAAACATCCGGAAGAAACAAAACCACTGTCTCCACATGAGCAGGGACTGTCCGCCCCTTGTGTGTCTCCTCCGGCCGATGATAGCGAATCTCTGCAAAGCGATACCTGTCGCAAAGGAAGAAGGTGCATTGGAAAGAAACATTTTGGTCAGGGCACAGTATAAAAGGCAAGCCTTGCTAAGGCGAGCCTTCTACAGCTACTCCCTCCCATGAGCTCACTGAATGATTGTACACATCATTACAGTGCGCCGTCTCCCACACAACACAGTACAGACACATGGACCCAGTCTGCAGCGCTCCAACTCTTGTCACAGGTTACGGCAGCCATTTTGAGAAAGTTGACAGACAATCACATGAAATAAATCACCCCCCCCCCCCCCAGAAAATTCATCCCAATTATAGCTTCAGCCAATTATGGATGAGTTCTGCATTTAACCTTGGATACACTTAACGCACTACATTAGGGCGGTGCAAAGAGAGACAGAATCAACAGGACAGTGAAAGCCAGTTAAATATGTAAGATATTTAACAGGAAGAATAGAAAAATTAATTTAAATAAAATGATGTAATGGTAGTGTCTTCTGGTCCAGGCTACTGCTTCCAGCCACAGTCCATGCGTTTGGTTTTTCATCACAATGAAATATGCATTTACTGTATATGTGTAAAGAGTGAGACGGAGAGAGAGAGCCAAGACGACAACACACAAAAAGCCAAAAGGAACACCGCACAACACAATAAATAATAAAGTAAATAATAAGCAGCAAATTAACAATACATTAATCATTAATATATAAAAAAGGAAACACAAAGATATCACACCATCAACATGTCCAGGATGACATTTTGTATAGAAGTAGTCAAATTAAGCAGCATATTATAGTTACTCAATTTGGGATTTTAGTACCGGTTGTTAGGTTTAAACAGAAACACAATCAATGAGAAAAACAAATATTGATTAGAATAACGGCTCTTACCACTGAGTGCATAGACTAAGATCTATGCCTGTGAGTGCCTTGCAACAGCGTATGGCTGTCTTTATAAGAACCGAGGGATCCTTCTCTGGGTCTGCTCCGTCCAGAGAGGGAGACCAGTGACCGCCGATGGCCATGGCCTCATCTTTACCTCTCATTCCCACCAAAAACTAAAGTAGAAGGACAGACGGGCACAAAGGAGAGCCACAGAGTAGAATCGGTTAGATGGAAATAGGGAATGACAGTATGGATGACGGGTGTGGTGGTTGGAAATAGCACAAAAAGGTCAGCGGCATGTCCAAATAATCACACCTCTGAGGATCCACAACCAACAACACATATGGGAGCCAACATCAGTTAGGATGCGTCCACATTCTGAGTACTCGGCATTGGAAAGGGTCATTACATAATGTGCTTGGCACAAGCATGGAACATGTGTGCTGTACCTTTACGAGTCTAGCAGGATGTTGGAAGGAATCTTTGACTTCCTGGGTGTCCTCTGCCAGAGCACAGGACTTGTGATAGAGCTCCTCTAGACTGGGGTTAGCCAGTAGCATCACCTGCATTATGAAGAGACCACATTACAGTTATTATGAAATCAAACCCTATTTTGATTACATTTTTCCCCCCCAATAGCCATTCAGTATAATCTTTACACTGTATTGTATCAGAGCTGTATGAGGCCACTGCTAATGCAACAATTTTTCCTACAGATTGTTCATTAAAAAAAGTAACACAATACACATAGCACGATGATCTTTCTCAGATCAATCAATTGGCGTGAAAACACTAATGGTAACAGTCCCACTGGCCTCCGCATCTTACCGAATATGAAACACACACTGGTGCCATGCGTTTCTCATTGGCAGCCATACCTTAGCACTGTAGGTGTGGTTGGCATCAGGAGGGTCCAGCACAGCTGTATTCTTGACTAGAGGATCCACCTCTTTGTGTAAGATGTGGAAGTTGCAGGCGTTGCTTAACTGGAAGGGTCTCGTCAGAGGGAAGGCATCTACCCAGGTGAAGACGGCATTAAAGAAGTCGCTGGGAATGTAGAGGCTCTGATAGCGCCTTCTCAGCTCCATCATGTCACAGCTAGAGCTGGAGAACCCGCAGAGAACCGTTAGGACCAGTGAACTATCACACCACTGACGTGTTGACATCCGGTACAACACCTCAGTGATCCATGTCAGAGAAAAACTGACAGCATAAAACACTGAAAAGATTACGCTCACCCATCTAAGCTGAACTTGGAAAACTGGACTGTGTAGCGAGGAACCACCCTGCGAGGCCGCCGAGGTGAGCGGTCCCGTCTGGGAGAGCGTTCTCTGGATCGTTTGCGTGTGGGCGAGCGCTCTCTTGATCGTCTGCGCTCACGGTCTCTGTCCCGACTGAAGAATTGATGAGTAAACACACTAGGATGAATAACTTATGCTGAAGGCACATTTTAGAGACGAATATTTGATTATCTGAAGTGATATCGATCAGCATCTCACCTGCGTTCTTCTTTAGTCCTGAGGATGAGCTCTGGGCCTCGGTCATTGCGACTGGGGAAGCGAGGTGGAGGCTCGATTCGTCGTACAGGCTGCGGCTGTGGCATGAGCCTCACTGGGGGCTGAAGCAGACCCCCTGGAAACACATCTAGAGACCAGGAGATAACGCTTGTTTAATCACTTACCATAGCTTTGATTAGCTGTGCCAAAACAGCTGCAAAGATACTAGTGATCATCATCACTTGTCTGACTGCTTCAAAGCCAATACTAGATCAATTCTATCTCCCTGAAGAGTATTTCACCTTTGGGTGGAGGCTGTGGTAGCAGAGGCTGAGGAGGGTTTTGGAGGAGAGGGACCAGGGAGGCAGCAGACAGCTGGGCCTGCAGCAGGGAAGGAGGGGGAGGCTGGGTTGGAACACTGAATGTTGGGGGAGGTAGCGACTGCATCATGGGGGGTGCTACCTTCATCATGTTAGGAGGCTGAGGCTGGCTCTAGAAAAAGGAGACAAGAAAAAAAAAAAAAAAAGGAGAGGTGAGCAGAAGTCAGACGCAAAACAATTTTCACTTAAAATGGTAATGACAACATATAACAAGATGTACTGCACACAATGTTCACTGGCTGCTTGAAAGAAAATAATTCAGAGATGGAATCAGGCACTCTGGCTGAAGAAGAACTGGTGGAACCAAAAGGCCACACTGCCCCCACATTCATAAATATCAACTCAAATACCATTATGACAATTACACATTTCTCACTGCTTGGTGAGGCACCGATTCAATTGGTACTGATTTGAGGGGTACTTCAAACCAAAACTCTATCCAAAGATTACTATAATCCAACACAACCTCTTAATATATATTTTTCTGTCATCCGCATTATCCCCTGTAGAGATTCACTGATTTAAATATTAAGAAGTGTGAAAACACCTCTGAAACAAAAGTAATATCCCAAGGAACATAAGTTTATTTTTCAAACAATTATATAATCTGGGTAAAGGGGCCGTAGTCTACAACAAAGCATTTTTTTTTTTTAAATGCACAATGAAGCAGTAGTTAAAGCAGTGTCTCTGTGAGGTGACTAAATGTTCCTTAGAATAAAGAAATGTATTGTTAAACCACTACAAAATTGTGGTTCTATCCATTTGGCAATGACAGCAAACTAAAAGAAGAAGCAAAAACTACAGTGAAGAATAGATGCAACTATAGTTATAGTTTAACAGGACCAGGTTAAGCAAGAAAGCCAGGAAACAAAGGAAAGAAGTCAAAGACAGACACCGAGCAGGGAGAAGGACCAACAGAGTGTGTGATTCAGGGCGAGGCGGTTACATTTTGTCTGTTGTCCAAAGCGGAGTGCATGTCTGAGTAGCGCAGCTGCATCCCTGGCTCAGCGTAAAGGCTGCCAAGCTGTGGAGGAGCTTGAGGTAAAGACTGTTGCTGATGCTAGGAGGGATTGAGAACACAACAGTCAATTAAAGACAGACAGGTATACATATATATTACAGATAAACACATATATTAAGACCATCGTCAGACTAAGCCCGATGAATTGTCCAGGATTTAAAGTGAACCTGTGGATCTCTCTTTTGGAAAGAGTTTCAGTGTTTAGTGGTAAATAAAGCCAAAGCTTGAAACTAACTGAAGCAAGCGTACAAATACAAAGTTCAGAGCAACCACCCGGTAAGTTAAGAAAATGTTTCCCATCTTTGAAGGACTAGGGGGGGGGGTTGGAACCGTAGTCCACATATTGTGTACCTCAATGAATCTCTTTTTCAAATATCAAAAACTATCCCTTTAAATATTATTAAACAGTAATTATGAATTAAATAATCAAACAATGTGTGTCTATACATTTTTGGAGCAGACAGGGCAATTTTGAACCCATCCCATGAAGAAATGCAGTGGAAACATAGATATTGTGCTTATAATAATACCAAAAATCTAAAACGTGAATTAAAGCTCAAGCAGAAACCCCCCAGTTTGTATAAATGTACCCGACAATGTTATCCTCTCCTTCATGAGGGACTGAGTGCAACCTCTGAGTTCTCTCACCGACTGGTTTGATAGCTGAGGTAAGGTCTGGATGCGCTGGGCGTTCCACTTGAAGGGCATGTTGGGGTTGTACACAGCTTCCACTAGGACCCTGTCACCCACCTGAGGAGTCTTCCCCTTTACAGCACTAAAAAGACACAAAAACAAAGCATTACGACATCTCTATAAGTCAAGCCACCTCAGAGTCAAAGAAGGATTGGGTATCTTTAGAAACTGTCTGCCAAATAACAGGTATTGACAAAGGCATAAGAAAAAGGCAGTGTCAAAGTAATGCGTACAATAAAGAAAGGCATTTAACATATCATTCCACCAACACTCTTTTACCTGAGCTGAAAGAAGACATCTTCATCTACAAAGCCAAATGTGTCATGGAGCTTGTTGACGACGCCAGTGAAGACTCGCTGCTTCTGTGGCTGCGTCTGCTGTTGATGACTTGAGCGTGGTGTTGGGTAGGACACGGTGATCTGGGCGGTCTGCTGGGGGTTGGACAAACTTAGGCTGGTGGGCAAGGAGACGGGGGGCTGAGGTAAAAGACAGAAGGAACCAAAAAAAACTGCTACTATGAATACACTTTGGTTGCATGTGAATCAGTAAATACCGTGACAGAGACATTTTGATAGCAAATCAAAACCATGAAGAAAACTGCAAGATAATCATCACGAACCAAAAAAGCTAAAATGCTTTGATCTGGTCTGCTGTGGAGATGTTTAAAATGCCCGAGATGTAAACAGATTTTAAACTAATCTCGGCGTGTTGTTTTTATCTTCTACACCTTCCCTATCGCTCAATGCATGCTGGGATAGACTCCATTCCCATGATATGCATGTATAAATGGATATACAAATATATATGTATAAGATCGATATGTATGGCAAATGTGTTTTTGCACATTACCTGAGAAAGAAGTGCCTGTTGAGGCTGGGGAAGCTGTGAAGAAAAAGAAAACACCAAGAGTAAACATTTTGTTGACTTGATATTATAGATTTTCCCACATTGTAATAACACATTCTCATCACAGGTCTGTATAGCCCATGGTTGATGTGGACATGATATATTAAGTCAGGGGTGTCAAACTCATTTTCACTCTGGGCCACATCAGCATCACGGTCGCCCTCAAAGGGCCGGTTGTACATGTATTTACCAATCCTAACATATTGGTAAATAACTGTCTCTGCATTTGATTATTGTTTATTCAAGTGTTAAAATATTGTACATGCAGTTATATAAATGTAAAACTATATTTAAGCACATTTCTGTTATTGTAACTTAAATCCTTTTAATTTAGGGTTAAGAAACCCACATTACTCTATCAAAGATCAAACTATTAAAGAAAATATCAAAGACAAATATCAAACACAAGTTATTACAATAACTTTGTTCAATGCTTAAAATCTTTTCAAGGGTGCGTTTGCACAATCCCACATGAAGTATTTCATGTGTTGTAAAGCCACGTTTAAAGTAGTCTTCAATGTACTCGCAATACATTTCCATATCAAGTGTACAGTAACCAGCCAAAGAGCTGCTTCTATGACTGTGTATAAGTATCTCATAATTATGACTTTCTATCTCATAACTTCGACTATCTATCTCATAATTTCGACTATGGGGATATTTTTATTATCAAATCTAACTTTTTTTTTTTTTTTTTTATCTGGCGGATTCGCGGGCTGTATGTTTGACACCCCTGCATTAAGTGCTATGTATACGCAGTCGTTTCAAATTATCAAGCACATTCCCATGATCTGCCTCAGGATGAATGGCTATGTTAAGAAATCTGAGGAATAAAATGAAGGGATGGGGGTCTCAGACTACTCAGACATATACTGTTGCCTCTTATTCAAACCCCCCCCCCACGTAACTCAATCCAATTGTAATCCAAACTCCCGGACTCTTAATTCATTAACTATGTCCCTGTAACGCTTTATGTTATTGCCTGTATGTCTATCTTTATGTCTGTTTTCCATGTTTGTGTCACTACATGTATTTTTTTTTTGTCACATTGATTCACCAATAAAAAAGAAATATAAAGAACTCAAGGAAAAGATAGATTCCAGAAGTCAATTTAATCCCAATTTAAAGAAGTGCAAAGGGATTTTACCTACAGACAGATCAAAGCTTAGGGCATTTTTTATTTACTGCTCTATGACCTAACCTGCGATTATTTCCCCAACACTTAAATGACCAGTGTGTAGGATTTAGCAGCATCTTGTGGTGAGGTTTCAAATTGCAACCAAATTAATTCCCCTTCCCTCATACCTCCTTTTCAACTACGATGGCCATATAAAAAAATGTCCATGTCATTTATGTTGTCTAGTCTAAACCAACCAACATATATTATCCAAGGCAAGTATGAGCAGAGGACTTTCCAAAATGCAACAAAGCAAAATCAGCCCATTTTTTTCTATTTGTTTCACCTGATGAGGTACATTGTACAGTTGCTGTGGAGGGGGTTGCTGCTGTTGCTGTTGTTGTTGCTGCTGCTGCTGCTGTTGTTGCTGCTGCTGCTGTTGTTGTTGTTGTTGTTGTTGTTGTTGCTGTTGTTGTTGCTGCTGCTGCTGCTGCTGATACTGCTGGAGGGCTGTATTGAGCTGAGACTATATACATTACAAAGAACATAGGAGAGATAATGGTTTATTACAATGAAGAACAGCTTTAGATGTGACCACAGCCTGGAGCATAGATTGCTGAGTGTGCATAGGACTGCATCGCTGTGACTGACCTGCTGTAGTGCGGCTGCGGCAGCTGCTGCAGCCTGCTGCTGCAAGGCAGCAGTTTGCTGAGACAGCTGATAGTTTGCAGCAGATTGGTTACTGAGAGAGGCTGCAGCCATGGCTGACTGTTGAGAGTAAACAGATGGGGATGCACCCAGAAGAGATGGCTGCTGCACACCAAGAGCTGCAAACAGGTAAAACAAGGCCCTAGATTCAGAGAAGTGTGGAAAATCACAATGAATGGGCAAGGTTGGTGTAGAAATAGGATGGGGCAAATAACTCCAAATAATCAAAAGATGACATTAAATATTTGTGTAACTGTGAGGGAGGGGATTAAACTGTCCAGACCCTCTGGTTTGCTACACTCACAATGCAGGCTATTGAGGTCAAGGGACGGTCCTGAGTGGCCCGTCTGGGACACCGCTGTGGCAGCAAATTGAGTCGCCCACGGCGGGTTCTTCTGTCCCCCGAACTGGGCCATGACTCACTCACGTTAAGGGCAGTCTCTCTTCACCAGGCCAATGCTTGTCACTAGAACCATAACCAAAGAAAAAAATAACATAAAATGAAATTAAAGTAACACAGTGAAATACATTTGGGGTATGAAAGATGACACACGGTTGTGTTTAATTGACAAACTTGAAACTGTATCCCCATAAATCAGTGCAAAATTAAAAGTACATGAATCCCAAGCAGCTAATTTGGATTGCCCATAAGCTGCCACCGTTTACTTTGCAACGCAGTAACTTAGGTTGTACAGAGAGACGTGTGCATTAGCAGACAAAGAAGCCAGCAAAGCAACAATAGGCTCGAAAACAACGTTCAATGTAGCACCATAGCTGGATGAGAAGCGTTGGACAAAAACACATGTTCCATTACGTATGAACGAAACGTCTATTGTGTTGTTTACACCGACTGGACGAGTCACAACCTCTAACTATAGATTATCTTTAGTAAAGGTCATTGGGTACCCGTTAGAGTATCGAGTCCCTATGATTGTTCAACAATATGTTAACGCCATTAGCATGACACGAAATAAGCAATTAAAAGGGAGCGATGGGACTTTAAGCTAGTACCCCGAGAAGACAAATTATTTATTCGAAAACACACGTACTATCAACACATGTTAACGGTAACCGTGATTTCAGCAATGTTCCGTAGATTAGTAACTGCTTACACAGCAACCTCGGCAGGCTCAACAGCAGTGTGGCTAACGTTAGCAGCTTTAACTGACAGTGGGCTAGCTCAGGCAGCTAACAAGTTAACATATGCGTCTGTCTACCCAGCCATTGTCGTTACTGTTGTGGTAAACTAATTCGCCTTTTATCCAAGTTAACGTGTATTTATTATGGCTTGGTCAACATTGTTGCATTAAAGCGCAGCATGGCTACTGTACGACAGATAAAACACTAGTAGCTATACAAAGCTTGCTAACGCTTAGCATTAGAACGTTGTTAGCTTTGTTGCTAGATTAGCCTCGTGCTGGATTTGTTTTCCAAAGCGAGGCCCGAAGTAAAGTACGCCGTCTGTCAGTTAACGGTAAACGGCCAGTGTTTTAAAAACAATTAAAAAAATACAGCAAATATAATAAACTCTATCAACAATTGCACTTTAAATGTCCACAATAACTGACGTAGTAAAGGTTTTTATTGAAACATTGTCAACAGAGCTTGCTTACCGCTGTCCTGGCAAATGTAGACGTGAAGTGCGCATGCGCGGGGTAGATAAACTACTGTTCTCGACTGCTAGATTTAGTTCGTTTGTATAGTCGACATTTAATGAATAGTAGTTCGTTTGTATTGTCAAATAAATTGTTTCTGTCCATATGTGCCCGTGCCTCGAGATCATGAGTAAAAAAAGATAATCATTAAGTATGAAGTCTCAATTTAGCTTTCTTTCCTGTAACAACGGTATGTGAGTAATTCCTTTTTTCTCTGCCCACGTGCGACATGTCATCAGTCATAACTGGAGGAACAATAACTAATAAATGAAAAAAGGGAATCAACAACAAATAATTGCTTTCAGAATGTGAACTTTGTTTGAAACAGTGATACAGTAAATCTGAAGAATGGAGAACAAAGCACATGTATATCATACAGGTTTTGTAGGCAGTTACACAGCAAATTCCCACTTGATGAATAATTGAAGCCCCAAATAATATTTTACTTAATTTCTAGATTATGTATTAACAAGCAAAACGTTATGTCTCATAAAGTATATGGCAGCAACAACTGAAATACCTCATAAAATCTTCATTCTGCATGGCTATAACCAATGTCAAAAACGTTCACAATATTTCCATCATATGAAAACATTCTTTCAAAATATATATATTTTTAAAGAAATAAAAACATCACAACATTCACAGTCATCACAGCAGAACATTTCGACTGGCTAGAAGAATGACTGTATATTCTGTTGACTAAAGGTATATTACTGTATCTCCTCTTGGTAACAGTGGCATACAGTATGTACACATTACAGCGTGAACTCTTAACAGTATATAGTATTCACACAAAATAGCAGGTCTCTCGTCTCTTTCTCATGAATGTACAATGGTATTTAGTGGAAATAATGCATGGCTGTGTATTTTTACACAGTAGAATATATTTGTCTTCATTTTTGTAATTTGCGTTCCAGCTCTGAGAAAACCATGGCATTGATTTCATCCACTTCATCTTCCACCTGGGCAAAAAGGACAATGGACAGAGTGTTAAATGTGACATAAAAGTTTGTAAAGACATATTTTACCAACCTTTTAATCATGCAAGTAAGTAATTGAATATTTACTGTTGAGCTTCATTGCTCAGTTTTTAATTAAAATTAGATCACAGCAGAATTTCCTGCATTTGATAATTTAAATATCAATACAGAAACTTCTGGAAACAATCCTGTAATGAAACTATCATGATTCTTGTTTCTCAAAATAAAATCTCTGCTTATCTACAATAACAAATCCTGCTAGAAGACTGATCTGGTTAGTCACCTGTTCCACGTTGTTTACTTCTGGGATGTAAAACTGCAACATGTTCTGAATGCCGCTCTTAAGGGTAACGGTAGAACTGGGACACCCTGTGCAGGAACCAACCAGCTTCAGCTGGACTGTGCCTCCCTCGAACCCCTTAAAGATGACATCGCCTCCATCCTCCTGCACTGTCGGTCTTGTGAGTGAAAGAGACCATATGAATTTGTTCAGAACAAAGCAGCCAAAAGGACAAACAGATTAACACTGTTATCTCAGCATGACTGTCATTTACTACACTGTGAAACATCATTGTTAGGAGTACTCAGCAAAGAAATATCAGAAAGGAAATATTTGATCAGGATTGAAATAACGCAATGAGATCCGATTGCTCCGACCACATTCGGAGGTGGTCTGCGACACATATTGCCAAATTCTTTTGGCAGTGTGTACATGAATGTGTACTAGGCCACATTGAACGACTGCTTACTCAACTGACGTGTGTGGGTGTGTTACTCGAGAGGGTGAAACATTTCCATTTACACTCTTATTTGCATATAGAGAACAATAAATAAAAGTAAGAGGTATAAACAACTAGAATAAGAATGGAAGTAAACATATGAACTATAAAAGAGAAGTTAGCAGGCTGTTCAGAGTGACAGTGTGATTTCTGCTGCAGCTGCACAGTTGATTGGCAGAGGGCACAACTTGTTGTCTGAAGCACTCAGTTCTGCTAAACTGACCCCTGGTTATTAAGTTTTGTACCTGATTCTGGTGTCCAGAAGCTCCTTTATCATAGACACAACTTCATCATCATCTTCAGAAAAACCTACAAAAAAGAGAGGATATTTACACGGTATATACAGTCAAACAGCTGTGTAACTCCAAGATGCCTACTATGGGGACTTTGCATACTCACTGCTTTCATGGTGCACTGCCCCAGTTGTTATCGGGTCGCCACTCTCAAAGAACTTAGCAATGGCCTCCAGAGCATGACGCTTAATGTCTGTCCATTCCACATCCTCATCTGTCTGATAGGAAAACAAAGTTTGCACGTGTCGATTGCCCACAAAGATGTCATAGGAACAGAAGAGACAAGCTGTACGAGGACATTTAATACTTACTTTAGTGACTGTGATGAAGTCAGGGCCATAGAACACACTTTTTACTCCTTCAATTTCAAACAGGTCCCTGAAAGAGACATGTTATCATGTTATTGTTCAACCAACATACAAAACATACAGATGACAGCATGAGGTCATTCATGTGAGTTAATTTGGTGATAAGGTCTTCCACTTGTGCTGGCTTTTATCGACAGTGTCACTGATGATTGCACAGCTTTTTATGAAGTTGTCGTTTACGTCAAGACAAGACAAAATGTATCAGCCAACAAAAAATATATCTACACAATTCTTTCATGCAGTCAGAAACCCTGGAGTATCACATCCTGTAGTTTGCACATTATGCATTTGTCACATCTACTCTACTGTATGTTCTCTTCTACCAAACAACTCCATCACTGTCAAGAAACAACCATGAATAGCTCAATGAAGGTACCATCCTATATTAAACTATTTTTAAAGAGAATGGAAAAGACACACACACACACATACCTCTTAAGCAAATATTTATAAACATTTTAGTTTACCAAAACATTTGAGTTATTTTGCTGAAACAATCTTTTATGAATGTGCAGCTTTTTAAAAAAATAATATCTGCCTGCCTAGGGAGAATAAGTGTGCCTTTTCACTCAGTTTTTTGTTTTCTACACGATGATTTCTTAACATGAGACACACACATTCATTCTGGTCCTGGTGCTACAGTCCAAAACTGTGATTTCTCTCTTTTAAAATGTCTATTTTATCAAATCAGAAACAGTACAATGTCAAAGTACAACCGTAAGCTTGGCCCACAACCTGGCTAAAGATGAACATCCAGCTGAGGTTGAAGTGGGAAAGTCAAGCGTCCCACTTCCTAGGACAGGTTTACCGGGGAGAAACTTCAAGCTTCTGGGGTTCGGAGTGTCTTGAGTCTGGATGGACAGCTGTCGTACTGAAACATAGTATAAAAACAATTCCCTTGTTACATTTTGTAAGTTTTTCCCCCCCATGTCTTCATTGAGCAATATGTTAGCAAAAAGATGAGTGAGTGGGTTGTATTTAGGTGTCCACACAATGGTTCCTCACTTGAGAAGTGAGAGGTTCCTGTCGCGGGCTGAAGCTGAGCTGTGCTGAAGATCTGGATCGAGCACTGTGATTGGTATGAGCTTCTGGTCTTCACTGAACGCCTTGAAAGGTTAAGGACATTTGTCTGTTAGTCAACATAACTTAAACTAATTCAGTTTCTTGAAGCAGGATTGAATAGTTAGGTGGCAGTGATGGTTGAAAGCCACGTCAGTTTCTTTAGCGGTTATCTTTTGATGTAACGTTACAAGTCTACAAACTGGTGACTGCTGACATTCAAGTTTACAGTCCAAGCTAGCTAACGTTAGCGGCTAACTTATATGCTCGTGATCTGGAAAGACCGAAAGACACGTGTGAAATCAAACACGACAAAAAGTGAAAATAACCAGACAGCTGTGCCGATATCTCCATCTTTAACGTTCAATTATATAGATTAGAGTGACAAACCGTTAGCATAACCTATGTCGCAGTTTGCTACTTATCCTTAGCTTAGCTAACTAAAAGTATCATCTCAACCACACGTCGCATGGCGTTTATATGTAATACAATCATTGCAACGTATCACATCAACGGTACAAAGTGTGTATGAACGATATGTCACAGCGGTTAAGGTTCAAACCTAAAGTTAGGCGTATTTATTGTCCGTAACAACTGCCGAAGTCCCCATCGTATGTGCGCCGCCATTTTGTTTGTTTTGAAGATGAGGACCTCATGTGGCGGAAAGCGCATAATGCTGATCAGGGCTTTGATTTAGATATCTGTTTCTGATATTGAGCTTTCTTTAGTTAATGTCGTCAATTATGAAAATAATTTATTGGTATCAAGAAACAAACATAAGTCAAAGAAATAATAGATTTTCTTAATTGTATTCTCTTTTTTCATATATATATATATATATATATTGAATAAGCATTTTTTGGAGGAGCCTCAAGACTGTTTCACAAGAAATGTACATATGACAAATAAAAAACTTTAATCTGCAATGTAAGCAGTAATTATAGCAGTTGAATAAATGTAATGGAGTAAAAAAAAATACAATATTTCCCTCAAAAATGTAGTAGAGTAGAAATAAAAATAGTAATAGTCAAATATATGAACTTCAAAACTGTACTTACTGGAGTAAATGTACTTAGTTACTTTCAGCACTGGATGACAGGAAAACAAAGCATTTCACACATTCAAGGCATTCCTTACACAACAAAGTAATCTGTAACCAGTGGCTGACTTAATATGGAGCAATTGTTTTGAATAAAACAAACAATGTGACAGCATCAAGAAGGCCAATCCCATGTTTCCCAACATTTGTTCTGACAGGGCAAGGTGGTGCTCCAAAGGAGTGGCAGAGAAAGAGAGACTCCCATAAAAGCAAGACTGTGCTCTGAATGGTGGAAGAGCAGTGCCACTGTGTGCTGGAAGAACCTGAACTGCTGGGTTTAGTCTTTATTTTTGGTTTCAGTAGGTATGAGTCTGACTCCATGAGCAACACCTCAAGAGGTCTACCACTGAGTGTTTTGAAGACACCTAGATTTAAGGAAACCCTGTTGTAATTTGTTACTTGCCTTCTTCACCACCAAGACATGCTCTGGATTATTTTCCCAATCTCCCTCTCGCTGGTGTCCTTCCTTGGAACATGGACTGTGTAAGTTTACCAGAAATTCACACTTTCTTATTTGTCTTTAAACTGTGGTGAAACTATTAGAACATGTGTTTTTACAAGATCAGCTGTTTTATTCTGCCACTGTCTGTGTGCTGCCATGCAAATGGCAAGTTTAGTCTTCAACCTTGTGAACCGTTTTAAGTAAATAAATCAGTTCATCAGTATTCACATCTGAAAGCTTGTACTTTAAAGCTGACCATGAAGCTGTAAGTGTAAGGTTTCATGACAATGTGACTCCTGATTAGCACTATTTAACTACTTCAGGATTATCAAGATTTTGTATTTGAAGTGTATATTCCTGGCTAAGGACATTGAGATTACAGTATTGATAACACTTGGCCTTAAATAGGAAATGATGAGATGGCAGACGTGTGTTTCCCATGCTTTTATTATACTATTTTAACTTTACGTAGGTCTTTGCTGTCTTTGAAAAGCGTATTTGTAAAAGTTCAATAAAGCTCAGCTGCTGTTTTGAAACGGCACTCTTAAAATATGTGATCCAGCTTGTTTCTCTGTCGAAAGGCGAGGACACCAGACTTTCAAGATTTGCCAGTAGGCAAACTGATGAATTCCTTCTTGAACTGCAGTATGTACATGTACCTGTATTCATGTAATCTTTTAGCTCTGTTAGCTATTAGTGAATACCTATACAGTGAGTTTTTTTCCTCATTGTGCTTTGTAATCCACTTCCATTTAGAGTTAGTTTTTTTACCAATTGCAGGAGCTCGTTATTCACACTGGAGTCAGATGTTCTTTCTTTTTCAGTGTCAGAGAAACATTTGGGATGGTACATATTGATGAATCAGTGCGAGTTGTATAGTGATGAATGAACACCACAAGTTAGATGCTGGTTAAAATGTCAGTGGTGCAATAAAATCATCGGAGCTTGAGGAGCAGTCAACCTCTGTTCTAACTGCGGTCATTTATTGCCACACAAGATTTTGAAGAGTTTTTTTAAAATATATATTTTAACTTCCCAGAAATCCTCATGAATTAATTTATTCAGAAAAATTAGAAAATGTTGTTTTTTTGTGTTGAATTACAACACATCAATTAATTCTAACACACCAAGAGCCCGAATATTAAAAAGTCTGTCATTTTTTGTTTCATGCTTTCAGATACGGCATGGCCTTGGCTAACAATCATGTGTGCTCTCTCAGTGACTGGTGAGTTGTCTCATTATTGTATATAGTTGACCATCATTTTTTGGAATGTGACAGAATCTCCAGAACCTCATTCATTTGTTTTCAGGGGGAATAAGCACTACTGCCAAGTGAATCTGACCGCTGGTTGTTGCTATGTTCCCACTATAAGGTGAGAATGCACATTTTGATTATCCTTACCAATAGAATCAAATAGGGAGGTGTAATTAATCAAACATAATATGTAATTTCAGCTCAAGTGGAAAAAACGCACCAGAAAATTCACTTTTTACAGCCACGATCAACGCTGGATCCTTTCTGTGTGAGTTGACCTGCTAAACATCTAACACATGATACATGATGTGAGGGATATTTGTTCTAACCATTGTGATCTACTCTTTAGTTCTGCTGTTCTGTATATTCCACCATGCCCATATTATGGAAAGACACACATGTCACTCCATGCTGAGCAAGTTTGCACTTGTCTTTGGTGTGGTGGCAGCTTTGGGGGCATTCGCAGCTGGAAACTGCAATGTAAGTATTATCCTGCTGAATGTGTTTGTATAAGTTAAATTAGCAGCTTTAAATTGCTATCAAAGGGCCCTTATAACCTGTGAGAGAAATTCACCTCACAGAACAGTAAGCATACTATCATAAAATACTAACAATAAAGCTGAATAGCTTCGGTTTGCACCTGTGCTGCAACAGCAAACAAAGGTGGGTAATATTTGTTTTAGGTCACCTGTAATGATTAATTAGAGCACAAGCACAGGCTTCTACAACTCTTCTACAGTTTTTAACACGATTTTCAGTAAACTGTACCATTTTTATTTGACTAATATCAAGTGTATTAAAGACCTAATATCAACATTTAATTTACTGATGTTAAGTACACTATTAAACAGGAGGGAATGGTACCAGTTACCATTCACCACCCAAATGCTGAGTCTATGTCTGTCCAATTTAAAAATAGCAATTTGTCAGGTGACAACGTTGTTTTGTCTCACTCCAACTGCATGGGGTTGTTTTCAATCAATAGTACGGACATTCAACACGCACATCTATCAA